AAAACATGCCCCCTGCAGCTGGGATGCCAGACATGCACCACGACACCCAGCTTTTTGGATGTTTGTGAACTTTGTGCCTGGCTGACCTCCAACCTCTACCTCCTTAGAAGCTGGGATAGGTGGGAGTCACCAGAACCTGGTTAAAAAAGACATTTGTAGGAACACGGTGCCCAGGCCCAAAATCAGCACCGGGGCGGGGGAGCGGGGGCACAAGAAAGATCTGCAGAACTGCACACTTAGCGAGCCCAGAGACCACAAGCCTCCACGCCTGCGGAGCCACCTTCCACCCCACACCAAGCCCTTCCGTCCTGTCTGCAGAGGCCCAGCGTTCCAGCCAGCCTCACCTCCAGAGGGACGAAGGAAACAGAGACACCACGGGAGAGACAGCACAGGAGAGACAGAGACAGCGCGGGAGAGACAGAGACAGCGCGGGAGAGACACCGCGGGAGAGACAGCGCGGGAGAGACAGCGTGGGAGAGACACCGCGGGAGAGACAGAGACAGCGCGGGAGAGACAGAGACAGCGCGGGAGAGACAGAGACAGCGCGGGAGAGACAGCGCGGGAGAGACAGACACAGCGCGGGAGAGACAGCGCGGGAGAGACACCGCGGGAGAGACAGAGACAGCGCGGGAGAGACAGCACAGGAGAGACAGCACAGGAGAGACAGTGCGGGAGAGACAGAGACAGCACAGGAGAGACACCACAGGAGAGACAGAGACAGCGCGGGAGAGACAGCGCGGGAGAGACAGAGACAGCGCGGGAGAGACAGCGCGGGAGAGACAGAGACAGCACAGGAGAGACACCACAGGAGAGACAGCGCGGGAGAGACAGAGACAGCGCGGGAGAGACAGCGCGGGAGAGACAGAGACAGCGCGGGAGAGACAGCGCGGGAGAGACAGCGTGGGAGAGACACCGCGGGAGAGACAGAGACAGCGCGGGAGAGACAGTGCGGGAGAGACACCGCGGGAGAGACAGCACAGGAGAGACAGCGCGGGAGAGACAGCACAGGAGAGACAGTGCGGGAGAGACACCGCGGGAGAGACAGAGACAGCGCGGGAGAGACAGCGCGGGAGAGACAGAGACGTGGCGGGACAGGCAGAGAATGTGGCTTCCTCCCCATGCCGGCAGCAGGCCGGCCGGGCCCGTGTGGTCAGCAGCAGGCCGGCTGGGCCGTGTGGTCAGCAGCAGGACGGCCGGCCTGTGTGGTCAGCAGCAGGATGGCTGGGCCGTGTGGTCAGCAGCAGGCCGGCTGGCCCGTGTGGTCAGCAGCAGGATGACCGGGCCCGTGTGGTCAGCAGCAGGATGGCTGGCCCGTGTGGTCAGCAGCAGGATGGCCGGCCCGTGTGGTCAGCAGCAGGATGGCCGGGCCCGTGTGGTCAGCAGCAGGATGGCTGGGCCATGTGGTCAGCAGCGGGACGTCCGGGCCGTGTGGTCAGCAGCAGGCCGGCTGGCCCATGTGGTCAGGAGAGGCCTCTGCGCCTCATCACGTGATCTGACGAACTGGGACCTGTCTCTGTCCCCTGGTCCTCCTCCATGCAGACTCGCGTCCTTCATAAACGCTTACAATAAACATTTGTTTTGGACACACAGGACATTCTTTTCCGTGTCTGAGCTCCTAGCGGTTAGGATCCTTCTCTTGTTCTTTCTTTTCAGTTCCAGCCCGAGGAGGGGAGGGCGGGGGGGGGGGATGCATTAGATCCCCTAATAAACCTTGGTAATGTTTTTCTAGCTGTGGTTTTCCATCGCACACACACACTCCCAACCTCTTCCTTTGCATCTATGGAACCTCCGCCTGGCAACAGCCATGAAGAATTTAAAAACACAAACAAAGATGCCAGCTACTCATCAGGAGCCATCTGCTCACGTGGAGCGGCACGTGACCTGCAGGAGCGGCGCCCACGGGCCCGGAGAGGGGGAGGGGACAGCTCGCAGGTGGAAGGACGCACAGCACACAGGAAGACGGGCGTCCACTAACACAACACAACCTGACGGTAAACCACAGACCATGGAAACACCACACGCAACTCCTCGGATCCGTGAGAATGCTGAGCTCTGTTACCCAAAGACGGAAACGGGTACGGAGAATCGAGTAGTCAAAATTCATCAATGACAGCACTTACCTTTGAGGTCGGTGCCAACCAGAAGGGGTAACAAGTTTGACAAGAAACGTACTCACCGTAACCCCTCTGCACATCACCCTGACAATAAAACGTGAAAGAAACCCAGTTGCTGCCAACCCTCCCCCAGCTCCGGCCGCCCTTTGACCCGCAGCCTCTTTGAATATAGTATCTAAGAAGGGCCATCATGTGAATCTCCTATATATTGTTACACTGTCTTGTAGCCTCATTTTAGAAAGTAGAAACAGGCAATGTTGAATTTAATAATGCATCTCAATAGCCACATGCTGGTGGCTCATGCCCGTCATCCCAGCTACTCAGGAGGCTGAGATCTGAGGATCGCAGTTCAAAGCCAGCCTGGGCAGGAAAGTCCGTGAGACTCTTATTTCCAATAAACCACTAGAAAACCAGAAGTTGCACTGTGGCTCAAGTGGTAGAGCACCAGCCTTGAGCTGAAGAGCTGAGGGACAGCGCCCAGGCCCAGAGTTCAGGCCCCACAACCAACACAATGATGATGATGATGATGATGATGATGATGATGATGATGATGATGATGTATCCCAATATATTCAAACTGTCATTTTAACGTCATTGGTAGAAAACTACCAGTGAGCTGTTTTATGACTTTTTCTTACTGTCTTTGACATGTGCCATGCAACTGGGGCCCTAGGACTCCTAGGACACAGCCCCTCAACCCAGCTGCGTCCCGGGGGCTTTGCTGCCCTGGGGGGCTGGGGAAGCGGAGGATGCGGGCTGGCGCTCAGCCGGCCGCAGCACCCGACTGCTTGAGCCCGGCTGCGGCATCAGCTAGCAATGCTCGCCCTAAAGGGCTGCTGTGCGCATGCTGGCCAGAGGCTCCGTGCACAGCAGCAGGTGAGCCTCACCTCTCCACACGGGTCTCCTCTCTGCGGTGCTGATGGACTGGCTCGTGGCTGGTAGTAAATGATCCTGTCTACCCTTGGATTCAGGAGCCAGCCAACAGTGAGTGCCAAAGGCCCACCTGGGTCGGGGGTGGCGCTTCCCAGCCCCACGGGGGTGGGGGGGTGGGAGGGGGGAATGGGTATGGACCGTCGGCGGGCAGGCGCTGTGCGGGATGCGGGAGAGCAGCACACCTGAGCCGCGTGGGTCGTCCGTTTCCCAGCAGCTGAGCCACAGCCAGCATTCACCCTCCCGGGGAGACCGAGGCACACGCGGCTGCCAGCAGCGCCCCTCCGGTGCCGTCTCCCAGCCAGCTCCACAGCCCCACCCCTGGTCAAGAAGCAAAGGCGGGGAGAGAGCCTAACTTGCTGGGCCGGGGTTCAAAGTCTCCAGTGGTGGTGACCTCCACGGCTTTCCCACGCCCGTGTTTTCATACTCAGTGTGGCTCCTGTAGGATTTGGGGAAGGAAAGCTTAGCGTTCTTCATTAAAACCTGTGTCTGTCTCTACATGTCTGTTTGGTTTCTCTCCTCGGGACTGAGCGGTTAAGAGCTGCAGAATGAGCGGGAAGGACTCGTGAAGGTGTTTGAAATCCACTGATTCAAAACAAGGAAGGATGGTGAGCAGGGCCTGGTGGACGCTAGCGCCCCAGCCATTCCCAATCCTTGGGGTGGCAGACCCCGAGGTGAATGCCCTCTGCGCCCCCAGGCCCCGGGGTCCCCTCCGAGGGACAGCAACCTCCGCAGAGCCGCGGCTGGGGCCAGGGGAGCCCTGCCTTCTCCCGCACCCCAGGGGTGTCCTGACTACAGGGATTAGGACGTCTCAGCCCTGACCTCTGTCTTCTCCCCGGGAACTCCATACAACTCAGTGCAACAGAGAACAAAGCTCCTTCTCCAACGCTGGCTCCATCCCGCCAGAGCCTGGCTCTCCCTCTCCTCCCCCTCCTCTCCCCTCCCCCTCCCCCTCTCCTCTTTCTCCGTTTTCAGGGCGCGGCCCTGGGAGGAACAGGCGGCCACGGCGATGCCCGGTGCTGTGCCAGCCACACTAAAGCTGCTCGGGGAAGAACTCTGTGCAGAGCGAGTCGCTGCTGGGTTGGAACACACCTGGCACGTGCCGCGACATCCCACGTCCTTCCTCTCTGGAATGTTCTAGCAAGCCTCCACCTCCATGCCACAGCCTGGCCGGGGCGCAGGAGCGGTGGGTCTGCCGCTGCCGCTGGCGCAGCCAAGAGGGGACAGGGCGCCTCCTTCCCATGCCCCCCTCAAACCAGCCTCCCCTTCCCCACCTGGGCTCCCGGGCAGCACAGCCGCCAGGCCCTGACCTCTGTCTTCCCCCCAGCACCCCCAGGACGGGGAGCCGGGAGTCTGTGGCCACAGCTTTCCCAGGAGGCCTTGCGGGGCCTGGGCATGCAGACGCTGCTTTGGGAGCTTGCCGGCCTGGGTCTCGGGGACCGCTCCCTCACCACCCCCAGCCCCAGCTCCAGGCCGTGCTGGAGGTGACATTCGGATGCCATGTCTGCGGGGGGGGGGCTGGTGGCCAGGGTTGGAGGAAGGGAAGTAGTGGAGTTGGGGGGGTGGGGGAGAGCGAGGTGGCTGGCGCTGTAATCCTGGCTACTTGGGAGGGAGAGACCCAGGGACGGTGGCTCAGGCTAAGTTTGTGTCACCAACGGCAGGGCACAGCAGGGCACCATCCTCCCAGACACACAAGGAAACACACGTGGGCGTCTCGCAGCCCAGGCCGGCCATGGCACGTGAAAAAAGCATGCTGGAGGCCTGGTCCACACGGTAGAGCACCTACCAGCTTGAGACCTCAATTTCAAACTCCCGTGCTAAACATGCCCCGTGTAACTCACACAGCCCGCCCCGGCTCCCCACGCAGGTGCGGCCTGGAGGTTAATGACAAATGCCCATCCACACCGGCGTCCCGCACATGACCACACATGAAGGAGAGCTGTCCCACGCCAATGTCGCCACCTGGTGGCCGCGACAGGAACCCGACCCGGGCCCCTGGGGGGCAGCACTGGCTTAGGCAATCTCCAGTTTCTTAAGAAGAATTCCCTTCCGCATCTCCCCGGCGTCCGGACCCCAGCGTAAGGAACGTCAGTGACCAGTTTGCATGTGCGAAGGCAAAGCAGAGAGCCCTGACCAGGAAGCGGCTCAGATGAGGAACAACGCTGACACAGGGCCGGCAGAGCTCAGCAAGCGCTGGCCACGCAGACCGAGAAGGAAGGCCGCATGACAACAGACAGCCTACAAACCTGATCGTCTCACAGACGCCGTGGAATGGAGATCACCTAGAAACAGACTAGTGAAGACACCCGTGCAGGAGCCGCCCTGCTCCTCCCTCAGCTATGCAGGCTGGCGGTGCAGGGCTGCCGCTCTCCCGGGCCTCCAGCGCTCCAGTAGAAACAACTACTGCCACCTCGTGGTCGCGTGTGGGCACTGCCGCCCTGTTACCCTGGCCGAAGCATCCCAGTCTGTCTTACAAAGGACTTGTTCTTTGATACTTATTAGGAAAATAATTTTGGTTCTCTTCACTTTGAAATTAAAATACAGAAGTCCAAAATTAAGAACTATAGATAAAAAGCAGGATAATGTTGGTATTTTATAAACTTCCGTCCAGCCATGAGCGCGCTCTGTATCCAGTGGTCCATCACCCAGGAGAAAGGCGCCGCCAGCACTGGGCAGGCACTGGGCAGGCCACCTGGCACTGGGGGCTGCCCACATTCTAGAAACTAACACATTTTTCCTGGGTTGATTCATCCAAATCAGAGCCGCCAGAGACCCAGTTTGGGCTCCCGAGGGCCCCACAGCCAATAGGCAGCGGCTTTCTGGTGTCTGGGGATAAAGTGGCAGCACCAGCCGTGGGGCTCTGCTGCGGTCGAGGAGCTGCCCTGCGCTGGGGATCCAGGTCACCTGAAGCAGGTGTGGGCTGCGTGGCTAACCTGCAGGTCAGCCACAGCCGGAGCCAGCCCGAGCGACTCGGGGCCCGTCTGCGGGGAAGCAGGCCTGGCGCTGGCTGCCAGCACCCGCTGCTGCCAGGCGTGTGCGCGGTGGCCGGCGCGGCGGTGACAGAGGCGTGGCCCTCATGGCCCGGCCCACGCCTGTCTTCACTCTGCACACGGCTGGTCATGACACTGTCATCACTGGGCCTGGCTCTCCTTCAGGTGAAGAGTGTGCACGTCCCAGCAAGGGTCCACAGGGAGGGAATAACGCCCGACTCCCTGACAGACTGCGCTGACCTTGCCCCCCCCTCCGGGGGCCTGAGAGCCTCGGCTGCAAGGCTGGCTCCAGGACCCTCTAGAACCATCTACCGGTCGGCTCTGCCAGTTCTGTTCTAGAAGAGCAAAAAGACATGTCTCCCAGCCCCGTGGCCCAGGCAGCTCTTCCCCAGAGGCTCTTGGACTTGTTTAACACAGTACGCATGGCGCGTGCCCGGGCACCGCCCACTCCGCGTCTCCCGTGATGGCCAGGATCACACAGCCTCCTCCAGGGAGACCACTCTCACGGACATCTCTGCCTGGGCTGGCCTGGAACCGTAATCCTCCCATTCTAAGCCTCTCGCATAGCTTAGGGTGACAGGCACACACCACTGTGCCCAGCTATGGGTGGAGAAGAGACTTTATGAACGATTCTGCCCAATTCTGCCATTTTAAGCCTCCCAAATAACTGAGATTATAGGCATGAGTTAATGGTACACAGACAGGTAGGCACTTCCATTTTAAACAAGATACATGATCTCACTGACCAAATTGTCATTTATACTAATCTATTTCCTATACCAAGAGGCTAGTTTTTATAATCTTATGTTCAAGAGTAAATATATTTAAAATGAGAATGAAGTCTATGGAACATACAATTAGTTAACCAGGACAATACACAGCATTGCCTGCAAGGAACTCAGCATCCAGTAACTGCCTCAGATGATGATGGTGATGATGATAGCGGTGAAGGTGGTGATGATGATAGTGATGGTTTGTTGGGAAATTATTTCACACAGTACAGTCATATCTGTAAAACTGTTTTTGCTTCTCTGTGCTGGAATATTGTCTGCTTATCACTAAATTTAAGCTGAACAGAAGCACACAGGAGTAGTTTAAAAAGTCAGCTAAAAGGCCGCGCCCCTGAGAAATGATGATGTAGGCAGCTGAATCTAGGTAAGTCCGAATCCCGTGTCCTTCCTCCCCATTGCCTTTGGACTGTTATCCCTGCCGGGGTCACCCAAGCGGTGAGGCAGAGCTCTGAGATGACTCCCACGACTCCAATCTGCCAAGCCCTGCACCGCCCCCACGTCACACCCACGGCCACATCACAACCTGGCCGTCAAGGGTCAGGACAGGGCACGCTGGCCTGAGGAGCTGCATTTACTGGTGTTTGGTTTGCATTACTCTATAACCTCACAAGAGCCGCTGCACGCGCTCAAGGGGAGCCCTGGGGGTCTCTAAGGAAAAGGGATCTCAGCCCTGCAACAGCTAGAAGCAAAAATCAGCCCAGAGCCTTCATGACCTCCGAAGACCCAAGGCCAGCGGAGGCTGCCTCTCTGTCCAAGGCCCCAAGACAGCCCAGCAAGACTCTGGACAACTCCCGACCGGTGGTAATGGGTATTGTGTTAAGGGGCTAAATTTGTTTTGTTTTTGTTGTTGGTTTTTGGTCAGTCATGGGGCTTGAACTCTGGGCCTGGGCTCTGTCCCTCAGCTCTTCAGCTCAAGGCGAGCGCTCTACGTGTGAGCCACAGTGCCACTTCCAGTTTTCTGGTGGCTCATTGGAGATAAGAGTCTCATGGACTTTCCTGCCTGGGCTGGTTTTGAACCGTGATCCTCAGATCTCAGCCTCCTTAGTAGATAGGATGACAGGCGTGAGCCACTGGCGCCCGGCTTAGGGGCTAAATTTGTTCTATAGCAACAGAGATTGAAACACAAGTCCATGTTCATCGATGAAGACATGGAGAAGGGAGGCTTGAGACTGCTACCTGTACGTAGCACCTTACCACGAGGGTGACACTGGACGCCGAGGAGGGTGAACTATAAAAACCTTGTCTTTATTTTGATGACACTGAGTTCAGGCTCAGGACCTGCCACCTTCCGAGCAGGTGCTCTACCACTTGAGCCAAGTTCCCGCAGTCCTCTCTGCTTTCCTTTCCTTTTCAGACAGGCCAGTCCAGGGCTGTGAACCTCCTACATACCCCCCCCCCTGGTAGCTGGGAAAACAGGTACACGCCACCACACCTGTCCATTTTACCACACCATCCACTGTGGTTCCTTGAGGATTTCCTGAGTAAACTCAAAATCCCCTGGCCAAATGTTACTTCTTCAAAGAAGTACTTCCTGGTGGGCGCCAGTGGCTCACGCCTGTCATCCTAGCTACTCTATTCAGGAGGATTGTGGTTTGAAGCCAGCCCAGGCAGGAAAGGCTCATCTCTAATAAACTACTCATAGTGCCAGAAGTGGCACTATGGCTCATGTGGTAGAGCACTAGCCTCGAGCAAAAAGAAGTTCCAGGAGAGCGCCCAGGCTCTGAGTCAACGCAGGACGGGCGCACACACACACACACACACAGCATTTCCTCCCCCGCTCCGCAGTCTCTGGCTGTCTCCATGGCAGCAGTGCGCGCACCTGTACCCCCAGTCAGCTCCTAGCGACCCGCCCCTCCCACCCAGCCTTCACTCCCGGGGTGTGCTGCCCTGCGCCCTGCACTCCCTGAGCGCTGAACCAGAACAGGGCCCTGATCAACACAGGCCTTGACGTCATTCCTTTCCAGCACAGCAGACCAGGCCCGCGTGTGGACGGAAGCTCGGAGCGCTTCGCCATGACAACGGCTGGGCAGCTGTCCACAGGCAAGTCTTTCCCATCTCCATCAAACTGCTCTGAGATGGACAGGTGTGCTCAAATACAGGCAGCCAGCCAGCGCTCACAGGACGGCGATTCTCACTAAGAGAAAGGCAGGAAGCACTTCCTGGTGTGTCTGACCCAAGCTCTCCGCTAGGGAGCATGTCTGCTGCTTCCAGTTATTTGTGTAGTCCGCTCCTGAAATCAAACGCTATCCTAAATGCATGACAGTCTCAGAGACCACTTTACTCAGTTACAGAAAATGACGAGCAACAAGACAGGAAGGGCAAGCGCAGAGCAACAAGATTCATGGACGCACGGAATCCTTTTAGGACATCACCACAGCCAGTCCACTTGGGTAGTAAATAGTACTTGCTTTGCGTGTGTCTTGTGGAAATTCAGGGAATGTTTGCATTTTTCTTTACTTTTTCAAGCAAGCATTTTCTTAAGTCACCCCAGAGGCTAAATCCTCCTTATAGATTATTAAACAATGAACAAATGAAATACAGCTTCCTAATGAAAGTTACAAGCACATTGCCAGAAACTTAGGAACTTAGGAAAACTCAGGACAGAGATGGGCTCACCCCCGGGTGGGCCTGTGAATGTATGTGCCCATGGAGCCAGACAGGAAGGAAGAACAAAGGAAACACAGCATCACACAGGTGCTAACGATGGAAGACGTACCTTCGATGCTCTGGGGGCCCACGAGGTTCACGGCCTGGTGAGCCGCGTACTCCACGCGGGGTCTGGCAATGCCCAGCTGCTCCATGACGCCGTGGAGCAGCCGCTGCACATCTGCTTCTGAGACTCGGTCCGGGGTCCGTGGGCTGTAGGCCAGTGCTGGGATAGCTCCAGTCGCCAGCCAGAACAGCAGTCCCAAGAGCACAGTACAGACCATCCTGGAGGCCATTTTTAACCTTCGGGGAGTGGGGGGGGAGGAAAAAGCCTCAATTTATAGCAAATGGCCACAACCAGGGAGGGTGAACTGCAGCGTGAATGCCACCAGGGGCTGCGGTTGGAGGACCACCCCGAAAGAGAGCACAGTGAGGAGTCCCTGGGGGTACCTCACTGCGGGGGATGGTCAGAAACAGCAGCCAGGCAGGCAGAGCCCTCTGGGCGTCCGTGCTGGGCAGCGGGGCAGGAAGACAATGCCACCCACACTGCTCAGGACCCGCACAAGCCTCTCCTCTCCCTCACGCACAAACAAAACCGCTTCAGTTTAGAGAGGGTGACGTCTTGGGGCCTCCCATGGAGGGAGGAGAAGGCACGGGAGGGAGTTAGGAAAACGTCTAGGGGTGGTGATGGAGAGCATCTTTACCCAGCCAACCACCAGAGTGCCTGAGACCCCAGAGGCCTGGCCCTGTCTGGTGGGTGCTGGTGCTCAGTCAGCCCTGCCTGGGGCGCTTGGCCAAGTCCTTGGGCTTCCTCTGCTGCAGAGCAGGAGTGCGGTGGGGCTGTGGGGCTCTGTGTGACAACTCCCATCAAAAAGCAGCACGGCCCTGTGCCTGGGGTCCTGGGGTTAGCACCGGAGGGGAGTGGGAGGAGGAGGGGGAGCACCAGCGGGGGGATGGGAGGAGGAGGGGAG